TATAAGTTGTCACATAGCTATTTAGTGTCAAGGTTGGAACCAAATTTCTGAATTGTTTTCCATACTAATGATTTTTTACCTCTCTTGGTTATGGTTGATATATTTTCAAGTAACAGAAGCCTTGTCAAAGAAAGGGAGGAAAATCTTACCCAGTTCAAGTAAAAGGAGTACAGTGGAACCTGGAGTCTGTGCACAGTATTCCCTCTTTTGCCCACCCTCATCTACATTTTCTCTGACTGTCTGCTCCTTTTTTGTACACAGTTTCCGTCAAAAGGCTCATAGTTTCTAAACCCTGAGCAAGGTGGTTACGTGGTTGAGCATGGCAAAGGACCCCCCAGCCTATCACATATAGATATTTGAGAGAGAGAAGTCAGGGATAGTTGAAGTTCAACGTCAGGAAATCTTGGCCTAAGACTTGACCCCATTTTTCAGGAATTAGACCTCCATGTAGTCATCATTCTATATCTTAAGCTATCTCAAACCATAAGAGGTAGTGAGCAGGACTAAAAACTTTTGCGTGTGCCAAGGGACAATCTTCCACCAGCTGAAGCAGATATCCCAGAGACAGTAGGCTTCACCCCTTTTATGCAGGCTTGTCTTTGAATGTATTTTTAAAAATACAATCCTTCCAGAGTAGCATATTTTTTCTAAACATTTTAGACAACTCCAACCTCAGCATGTTCAAAATGTAGTTAACAATGCAGAGGAACACTTCTCATTTGGTTTGGTTTAGGCATTGTCTTTTTTTTTTTTTTTTTGCCGACTTCACTGGAAATCCAAAAATAGATAATTTCTGAAATTAAGTGTCTTTATTTCTAAATGAAGAGCTCTAAGATGGCCAGTGACAGATGGTGCCAGGGACCAAATTTGACAACATTGAACAGGTGTTTCTACCTCAGGTCAAACCATTGCCGGCAGACAATGGAAGAGGGAGCTAAATCACATATTGGGCTCTATCCCTTCAGGGCTGTGGGTGAGTAATCAACTCTAGCCAAAAATAGTGTATGATTATACCCTGTTGCTTCATTACAGGCCATCAGCTATAGACAAATTCATGTTCTATGTTGATTATAAAAGGGGTCAAAACATATTACCAAATATACTCAGAAGAGACACAACTGGCCATTCTAGCATATTCTTTTTGACTTAGATCTAAAACACTAGGTTTCATGAACGTTAAACAGTCAAATAGTTATTGTACTTACCTTTACAGAAGGAATTTTTGAGGTAATTTTAACTATCCCACTAAAGGAGGATTAGCACATTAACAACAACAACAACAAAAAGACAAAGAAAATGTGGATTCCCACATCCCTTTCTTCTGCTTGTGGAAGCATCACTCATAGAACCACTTTTGCAATGATCCTGAACCTGGCCTCACAATCCCTCCCTAGACAGCTGTTCTTTCCCAGTTAATTGGAGGTAGCATTCAAGATGGGAATTTTTGGCCATCCCGCTGGTAAACTGAACTTCCTTAGCTGTTCACAGACCTTGTCCTACTTCTCTCCATATCCCAATTCCAATGTTTTACTTTCAAAAAAGTGACAACCAATATGTTGTTGTAGATGGATAAGTGGCCAGAAATCTTAAAAGTAGTTTTTCACAAGCAAGTAATTCTCAAAAAAATATGCAAATAGCCAGAGTCATACAGAAATAGGTTTAACTTGACTTGTAATTAAAGCATGTGTTTTTGGCAAATTATTTTTGGGTACCTTGGTAAATATTGCTTAAAAAGAAATAATATTAATTGTTGGTGAGAGTGAAGGGAAGCAAAACCATATATAGCTAGTAAGACTATAACTTATTAGCTCCTCTAAAGGGAAGATAGCTTATCAAAAATCATAAAAATGAATGATTTGACCTGGGAATTCTACCTGTGGAAATTTATTTCATGAAAATAGATATTTTTGCAGAGATTTTGCTACAAGCATGTTTATTGCATATAATATTGAAAAATTAGAAACTAAAGAGTTTAAAATTATTGTAATTAACAAATTAACAATTAACAATTGTTATATGACCAACAGTCAGGGATTGGTTAAATAACATTTATGCCTGTTTATATAGTAGTATTTATATTATATATATGTATATTTAATGGTATATGGTGATTTAAATTATATAAAATTGTATTTATCAACATAGACAAATGTTTATTATATACTGATAAGCAAATGAAAAGAGATTGCAAAGAAGCATTTATGATGTGGTTTTACTTTGTAAGTGTATGTATGTATGTTCATAAACCCAAGTAAAAGTGTCTAGACACCCCAACAAGTTAACATTAATTATTTCTTGACAGATGAAATGATGGGACTTTTTTTTTCCTTTGCCTACACGTTTTTCTCTGTAATGATCACGAATTGCTTTAGTAATAAAAGGTAATTTTTTAATATTTAGAAACTTGCTGTCCAGGGAAGTTTTTTTTTTTATTTGTTTCCCTCAAAAAACTTTTATTAATTTTTATTTAAAAGTTACACAGAATACTGAAAGAAGATAGAAAAATGAACAAGTACTACTCCCATCTACAGAATGCCACTCTTAACATTTCGCAGTAGGTACATTCATTTATTTACAGATTTTTTGTTGTTTATTGAGGCATATTTTACATACAGTAAAATTTACCATTTTAAGGTGATATGTGTATGATATATGATAAATGTTACAACCACTACAATCAAGATACAGAATATTTCCATCACCCTCAAAATTGCCTCCTCACCTTTGTAATTAAACCACTCTCCCCAACCACTCTCTAACAATCACTGATCTGATTTCTGTTCTTAGGGTTTCAACTTTTCAAGAATATCATGAACATAGAATTGTACAGGAAGCAGCTTTCTTAATCTGGCTTCTTTCATTTAGCATGATGCTTTTGAGATTCATCCATGTTTCCCTTTTAATTGCTGAGTTATAGTCTATTATATTTTATATATTATTCTATAGTAAGCAAACATTCGAAATCATTCAATTGATTATTCTTTTCAAAAATAGCTATTTCTGCATGTAAACATTAAGCCCCCCCTCCCCCACATGGGTGGGGGTGAGGATTTGAAGAGTAAGTCTTAAATGTGGCCCTGTCATTCACACATTCTTTGCTCCTTTTCCTTTTCTCATTCTCCATTTTTCCTTAATTTCTTCCCTCCTTTCTACTAAAACACTGAGGGGAAAATAATGACAAAAGTCTGATATGAGTGGTTGTTATAGAAGACAACTGAGTCATTTCTGTTTTACTTAGATTCTCAGTGTTAGTTTATTTAATCATAAAAGCAATGTATGCTGTTCATTACACCAAAAATTGGAAGAGGATTTTTAAAGGACTAGAAAAAAATGACATTATTGTGGCATACTTAAATTCTATATCTGTTTCTATTTTTGGCACATTGCTTTAAAATCATGCTATATATGCAATTATGTTTTATTTTTCCTAATAGGAGGGCTTCCCAAATATTTTCTCGGGGCTCTCCTTTCTTTAAGAATTGCTGGGCAGGGCGCGGTGGCTCACACCTGTAATCCCGGCCCTTTGGGAGGCTGAGGCGGGAGTATCATTTGGGGTCAGGAATTTGAGACCAGCCTGGCCAACATGGTGAAAGCCCGTATCTACTAACAATACAAAAATTAGCCATGCATGGTAGTGCACGCCTGTAATCCCAGCTACTTGGGAGTCTGAGGCAGGAGAATGACTTCAACTTGGGAGGTAGAGGTTGTGGTGAGTCAAGATTGCACCACAGCAATCCAGCGTGGGGGACAGAGCGAGACTGTGTTTCAAAAAATAAAAATAAAAATAGTTGTTGTGCCTAGCCTGCATCTGTCTCATTCATTCTCTCATTTAGCAATACTCTTGAAAACCTACTAAGTGCAAGGTGTACAATGATAGACAAGATAAGCACAATCCCTGTCCTCAGCGAGTGGGTGCTGCCTTGCTTACTCCACTGCAAAAGTCAATAAGCAACATAAGCAGTAACTGGGGAGTGAAGTATGGGTGTTAACTAAAGTCACACAATGAGCAGTGACTGCCTGTATTAAATATGACCTTTAGTCATATTCTCTTTATTATCTCTATGTTCTCTAATTACTTTTCCTCTCTCATGAAAAACTAATAGAATTAGCAAATCATGATTATTGCTTTCGTATCAGGTAGATCATACTAACATGACTAAAATGAATAAGATCTTTACCAAAAAAATCAATTTAAAGAGTTAAAACAAAAAGAAACTCGGTATATTGTCAAGTTCGTCCGTTCCATCATACTTATCTATTGTGTACTTACCAAAGAACAGAGAGGAATCTTTACATTAAATATGTCTCAAATGACAGGGTCTATTTTCAAAACATTTAATGACAGGGGCAGGACAAGGGCTGATCTTTCATAAGGAGACCCCCATAAGGTTACATGTAAATTTTTCAGTTGCTGTATCTGGGAGATCTGGCTGGTACCTCCAGGCAGAGACCAAGATGACTAGTATACCGGGAGCTGTCAGGAGGTTCACGACAGTGGCTATTTTCTAAACAGTGTGACAGTATTTCAACATTTTAATGACTGGTGTGACAGGCTCAACCCTGGAAAAAAATATGTTACAATACTTCAGGTGATTTCTGCTTTAGGGAAAGGCATAATGGTCACAACAACTCTCCTTTTAAAAGAAGAACCTTGTGTGTGGTAGATCCTCTATTAATCCAAAAAAGTAGAAAGTTAAAATCCACTTAGTAAAGAATCAGACAGTGAGGAATTCCATGAATAGACAATTGAAATAAAATATAGACATTATAGCAATGCTGGTAGAGATAGAGAAAAACAGGAGAAATAGAAAAGAGGGGGAGAAAAGGCCAGTAGAAAAATCTTCTGGGCTTGATAGAAATCTGAAATATCTGCTTATTTTAAAAGAAAAAAAAAAAACAGGAAAAAGAGTAATCTTATCATAGCCATATTGGCAAAATGGCACAATATGAACTTTTACTGTGCATGATAATATTTTTAATAGCTTGCTTCCCTCTTTTAGCTTTCCTTATTGGAAAAGGCTGGATTTGGAGGTGTTCTTCTGTATATTGATCCTTGTGATTTGCCAAAGACTGTGAATCCTAGCCATGATACCTTCATGGTGTCACTGAATCCGGGAGGAGACCCTTCTACGCCTGGTTACCCAAGTGTTGGTAAGTTTGTTGTTCATCATTATTATACTTGTAAGTTAGCATTACAAGTTTGCAATTTATAAGTAAATGCTACCTATCGGGAATAGTGATGTCAAATAATTCTTATCATCTCATCTTATTTTTTAAAAAAGCAATTTATTTTTCATATTCTCAAAATTATAGACTATCAATTTGTTGGTATAAATTGGATTTATACTATAATGTATTTTTATCTCAACAAATTACAGTATGAACAGATAGAAATGTATTTTATGTTTTGTTGTGGATTGACTGATAAGACAAATTAACACCAGGAGTGGTAGGCACTCCAGGTAAGCCAATGGTGTGTACAAATACCCAGGAGCATGAAATGTCTGCTGCTTTGGTGCAGCTGTAATAACTTTCAGTCCTGGGTCTAGAGGTACCCATGATCAAGTTAGGTGAGTAAAGTAGTAAGAAAAGATGTTAGAGAAGAATGGATTTAATATGCTTTTCTGGCTGTCTTAAGAGAAGGGACCTCATTGTTTTGGCCATCACTGGAAGTATAGAGATGGCTACTTTGCAGCAAATATCTTTCTTTTTCCTAGATAGCTGTGTTCATGCTAGTAGGGATCATGTGGAAGAGAGGAAACAACTGTGATTTTGGCAGATGCTCACCGCATCATTGAATTTCTGTCCAATGTGTCATTGGCGAATATTCTGTTCATTCAACTTGGCTGAGGAAAAAGCTCTTTGAATCTTCTTCCAGGGTGATACTGACCCATTAACCATGACCCTTCAGTCAATAATTAAACTGATCCAAAAAGTATGTAATTATTAATGTGTTCTGCCAATATTTTTCCCCAAAAAAGATCACAAAAGAATTTACTAGTTCTCTTACTCAAATCCAGCTGCCTATTCTCTCATTGTTAACTTTACCAATTAACTAGCACCTTTTTCCAAGAAGGAAGCAAATTGAATCACATATGAGAATTATAACCTATGAATTTTGTTGCATCTACTGATTATTGATTTTTCTTCTATATGCTACAAAAGTATTCCTTTAATAATCCATGTAAAATTACTCCGAGATCTCCCTGATCTGTACTTTGTGCAGTCCCATGTCTTAGCATTACAATTTTAAATTAGAATTAGTAGGCATCTATGTACAATTTCTAGACATCACCCAAAACACCAGTCAGCTCTCTCATTTGCAAATACACTCACTGTTCTGCATTGTAATTGCTCAGCTTCAGGAAGCTGCGTTTGGCAGTTAACTCACTGTGGCAAGTCAATGGGCTGCAGTGCTACCAGAGAGAGGCTCTGTATGAGTGCTCTATCTTAAGCTGATAAGTTGTTCAGTTGGCACCATTACTCAGCATTTTCTTGCCCCCAGTCATTTCATAAATGCAGAATTCAGTCATGGGTAGCAAGTGTTGGTCAGAGTTGTAAGAAGTTTCAACATGCTTTTTTTCTACTTTTTATTCTAAAATAATCTAAACTTCCTAAAATGGTTGCAAGTTTAGTATGTATAGAATCTCTGAAATGGTTTTATTCTGCCATCACCTTAACAAATAGCATCTGGCTTCTTTTTATCCATGCTAATGTTCTTATCAAACAGCAGCACCCTTACTTTCTTCTCGTAAACATACTTTTTCATTCTTTACATGACAAGGTTGCAATTTTCCAAATTTTTCTGTTCTACTTCTCTTTTAATTAAAAATTCCATTTAAAAACATTTTTCACTTCTTTCATTTTACTGTAAACAGTCAAAAGAAGCCACGTAGCACCTTGAACACTTTGCTGCTTAGATATATTCTTCTGCCAGATAACTTAGTTTATTGTTTTTAAATTCTACCTTCCATAAAGCCCTAGGTCATGGACACAATTCAGTCAAATCCGTTGTCACTTTGTAACAACGATGTCCTTTATTTACTTCAGTTTCCAGTACATTGTTCCTCATTTCTGCCTGAGACTTTATCAGAATGGCCGTTACTGTCCATCTTTCTATTGACATTCTGGTCATGACCATTTAAGTAATATCTAGGAAGATACAGGCTTCCCTACAGCTCTTGTCTTTTTTTTAAAGACCTCACCAGAATTGCTGTTAATAATCCTAGATTTGCTTACAACGATTTAGGCTTTTTCTGGCCTGTTCCTTTTAAGTTCTTCCAGCCTCTACCCATTATCCATTTCCAAAGCTGCTTCCATGTTTCTAGGAATTTGTTATAGCAAAAACCACACTTCTGGTTTCAATTTTCTTAGTCCATTCTGTGTTGCTATCATGGAGTACCTGAAACTGAGTAATTTTTTAAAAGCAGATACTTGTTTCTTACAGTTCAGGAGGCTGGTCCGTCCAAGGTCGAGGGGCTCACATCTGGCAAAGGCTTTAATCAGTTCATCCAGTGGTGGAAGGCAGAATGGTGAGAGAGTGAGCATCCATGAGAGCAAGAAAGGGCCAAACTCACTTTTATAGCATGCCCCTCAAAATAACAAGCCTACTCTCATGATAACAACATTAATACATGCGTGAGAACACTTTATGATCCAATCGCCTCTAAAAGCTCGCACCTTTCAACATGGTTGAACATGTGTTTCATGTGTTTCCAACACATGACCTGTGGGGTCCACATCCAAATCATAGGAAATGGTTATTAGAGGGACTAATCTAAAACTAACTTTTTTCAATTTAAGAACTTTGTTTTATTCACCAATTTAAGGGTGATAAGCTGTAAAGAAGTAATTTAGAACAACCCAAAATACCAGGAGGTAGTTTTTAACTTTGTTTGTTTGGTTTTTAATATAAACAAAGTAAACACAGTCATTTAAAGAACATTCCATATGCCTCATCCAGCTTTATTGACTGTCTACCTTTCTATCATTTTTGTTTTTTATCTGTACATTCCCTCACATCCCGACAACATCAGTATTTTTCAAGGTAAAATTTACATAAATTAAAATCCAGCACGCGTACATGTAGGAGAAATTCAATGATGGGTAACTCAGGGTTGTTAGAACTTAGCTCTTATATAATATCTTAAGAAAATATAAAGATATTTAGAATAAATATATAGAGAAGTAACAAGACAAAGAAAAAGAGATTTAGCCTTTCAGGGGTAGCGAACTATAGGAAGATAAATATATGGGTGGAAATTAACAAAGATAAAAGTTTTGTTTGAGTAAGGTTTGTTACGTAGTTCCTTTCCTCTGCCCCTCTGGGTTAATAAGAGTCTCCATTAAAAGTCTAGCCCTGACTTTTTGTAAATTGCAGGGGAGGCAGAGAGGGTTTTGTAAGCCACTGGGAGCATCTTCTGTTTCTCAGTTATCTTCAGCTCAAAGTAATCTTTATGCTAAAGTGACATATTTGCAGGTGGCATATTCTGACCCGCTATGACTGGTTTCACCAACTTGCTATAAGCATTTCAACTACACTAAACTATGATCCAAACAAATCTGATTTCCTAGGACCATATATTTCTGGAATTCTAAGAGACTTTAGTGTTTATATAGCAAATATCAATTCTCAATTTAGAAGCACAAGAATCCTGCATTTTAGCCAAAGACTCAGGTAAACGGGGCAACTGATATTTACATATCTAGTCATAATTATAATCCCAGTGATAGGTTGCAGTTGGAGTTGTATTTGGCCTAAAATCATAAATAAGCTACGTGGGGTAAGACCCAAAACAAACAGAAAATCAGAAAGATACGAGGTAAGCATAAAAAATAAGAAAGCAAGAAATATGTATCTTTAAGGAGTATTCCATTTGGTCTATGTTGAAACACGGAAAAGAAAACCCTTTCCGAATTTCTAAGTGGTAAAATTGTCTGAAATCTGAAGAACTGAAAATAGTGTTAGGAATAACAAATCCTTTCTCCGATATACTTTCTTTAATAATTTATCTTCTGAATTCTGTGTTGGCTACAGTGTTGATTTTAATTTTACTAACACCTCCAGGTAACTGGTAATCTGTTTACTACCGGTTAATTGTTTGTCTTGACTTAGACTTGAATTTCATTATATACCATTTTCAGAAATCCATCTTGATTTAAAGCTTTGTATCTATGTCCCTCTCTCTGGTTTTCTGCTACAATCTTTTTTTTTCCTTTTTATTTGTTTTAAATTCCGGAGAGAAAAGTCTTTTCAGTGGTTCTATTCTACTGAAATGTATCAAATGAAACAGTTTATTTAATATTCCCAGTGTTACAATTCAGTGGATCTCTGTGTTGTTTATCTACTGTCTGTTCAGCATCACCCCTGCCAAACAAAACTATTCAAAGAATAAAGAGTATCACTGTAATTTGTGACAAGTCATCACCAGGTGTTCCTGGTCCAGTTACCTGGACAAATATCGAAAGACTGACTTGAGTTAGCACTAAATCAACTGAGACAATGTTGAACCATTTCCTGACTAGAATGGCAGAAAATATAAGTATGTGCCTAGTTGTCAGAACAAAGTGTTAGATATTCACAGCATGAAATGCCTTGTCACTTGGTTGGGGAAAATAGTGTCTGAATTCTTACTATTTCACTGTAAGTGCCTGGTGGTTCTCGTATGTGCTGTGCAGGCTTCAGATTTACATGTAATATTATTCAACTTGACTCTTAGAACCACTTGTGGAATGGCTCATTGTTAAGCAGCAAAATTTTTCTGAAAGTTTATTCATAACGTGTTGAAAATATTGATTGTTTAAATTCAAACTGCTCCTTTAGAAAGTCTAAATTTTGTTTTGAAAAATAATTTGGGTGACATAAGTTCTCTTGGCTCCCCAGAGGGAAATTTACAATTGATTGTTTGAATGTCTAGGATTATAGTCTACAGAGAACATTTTTGAGTGGTTATTGTTCATAAAAAAATCAGTGTGCCATATACTAAATTCATCATTTAGAATGTTTTTTACTTATTATTATATTGGGAGCACTCTACTTTAAATTAAACATGTACTTGATCAATAGAGACAATCAGTTTGTTTTGTTTAAGAACTAAAGTTTCCACAAAAATCTATGATGAATTCTGATAATGATAAAATCACTGCCAAAA